CAGCTTGAACTCTCAAATGAACATCTCTAACCCTATTTCCTGCGTCCGTAACATTGATACCACTTCCTACATCATACCTAGCATGAAGTCTGGCATGTAATTTAGTAAATGAAAATCACTTAATTTACCCAACCTGCTGCCTAGCACCCCAGAGCCAGGGGTCAACCTGTTTCAAGGTTTGGCCTAGCATGCACAAAGCCCTGGGTTCAATCAGCAAGGCACCAAAACAATAATGCTTAGGCTGAGAGTGTAGCCCATGGTAGATACATACATGGCACAGATCCCTAGCACTGAAAAAAACAGTTTTTCAGTTTTCAATTCCAGAAACTCTGATCCCACAATTCCAGTGGAAGGGCCCAGCAAATAAAATGTTAACAAGCCCCAGCAGATTCCATGGAAGCATCCACGGAGCTGAGCAGGCTTGGAGGGACTCTGAGAATGTTTGGGGTTGAGAGAGGAGAGCTCAGTCATGTAGGGGGGTCTTGCTAGCTGCACTGATTTATTTCCCACGTTAAGAATAACTTCCCCACTAAGCCACAGGGACAGAGTGAGGGTGCTGGCATCCCTGAGGGAATCCTAAACTCTCCCAAGTCTCTACCTCTGTCATTGTCTGATGGCACCAGCCCTGGGAGCCCAGTAAAGATCCAGCTGTCTCCTCACCAAGCATACACACACACACACACACACACACACACACACACACGTGTGTGTGTGTGTGTGTGTGTGTGTGTGTGCACATGCTCACTTATGCACTCCACCCTGAATCTTGAAGCAAAGCTTTTAGAGAAACCAGAAGGGTCTGTGTTGTCCTGGGTTCTCAGGGAGACCACAGTTGGGGAATGGGACAGGGAAGAGCTGCCATCGTATCCCATGATGTGCCGAGCACCTGGTTTCTCTGACTTCCTCAACCCTCGGTCAATACACATGCAATGAGGAAGCTGAGTCTCACGAAAGTTTCAAGACTTATGCAAGGTGTCTCAGTTTGATGTGCGGTAGGACTCGTGCTCCCATCTGCAGCGGTACACCTGTAATCCCAGTTGTTTGGGACAAGAGACAGGAGGATTACTTGAGCCAAAAGTTAGAGACCAGCCTGGGTAATTTAATGAGACTGTCTCAAACAAATAATAACAAAAACAAACACATAAACCCTCAGAGTTGGGGATGTAGCTCAGTAATAGAGCACTTATCTAGTTTGTGGGAGGTGCTGGGTTTAATCTCCATATCACAAACAAAACAAAGGGAACAAATGAACCTCCAGTCTATTGGAAATTTACTCTTCCGCCCATGCACAGAACCTCACTAGTAGTGTTCACAGCAGAGACATGGATTTTGCCCTCATTTTGCCAAAGCAGAGGCAGCTAAAACCAGAGTGAAGAAATGTCTCACCAGGCCCCAAAGCTCGTGAGTGGCAAAGCAGATTGTCAAGAAGCCTCCAAGGCCCCCTGCGCTCAGTCCTCAACACTCCTGCAGAGTCCTGGGCCCCAGATCCAATGGCGAGGATAATTTCTGCAAGGGGCAGATAAACTGGATGTGCCAGGTTAGGGTTGAGGGGAAGAAGAAGGAAATGGAGAGAGGTAAACCCACCCCTCTAAGATTCCATGCTCTTAGCCGGGCAAGGCTTGTGTGCAGCCTCCCATGCTGCCTCCTGAAGCCCAGGGACTTGAAAGGGCCAGAAGTTCTGTCCAGCTGTGGAAGCCACTAAGAGAACACAGGGGATTGGACTGCCAAAGACAATGACGGATGCCTCGTGTCAGCACTCGGTTCTTGTTCGTTGGGACAGCACCCTGCCTTGTTGCCCAAGTTGGCCTCAAGCTCCTGAGCTAACGTGATCCTCCTGCATCAACCTCCCTCATAGCCAGGACTCCAGGCACAAGTTGCCACACATGGCTCTATTTGTTTTAAAGGTACAAATCTCAGTCAAGCATGGTAGTACATGCCTTAATCCCAGCCTTCCTAAACGCTGAGGCAAGAGGATCACAAGTTTGAGCTAAACTCAACCTGGGCAATTTAGCCAGTTAGTGAGACTGTGTCTCAAAATTAGAAATTAGAAAAGGGCTGAGAATGTAGTGCAACCTGAAGGATCTGGGTTCAATCAGCAGTACCACAAAAAATAAGTAAATGTACAATTCTTACTTTATGTACAAGAAAGCTAAGGTTCATTGCTGACCTAAATGCCAAGACTCTCACCCTGCCTGGCTCCTTCCCCTTCTCCGGCACTCAGGGGTGCCTGGGCAGCGGCTGGCAGCACAGATGAAGGTGTGGGTGGTGACTTTACTCTGTTACTCACAGAAAACCACAGGAAGAGGAGTGGAGGGACTCCTTCAGCCTCTCATGCTCCACGGCCTGATGCTCCTCCAACAAGCCTGCCCTGCACAAAGCTGCCCTCATCCTCTTCACGGGTGGAGGAGCTGCAGGTTGTGACAGCCTGCCCCAGGGTGGGTCTTCACAATGCTGCCTTGGTTTGGTGCCCACACACACATCTCTCCTCTCCCTAGCCAGGGCATCCTGGAAAAACTGCTCTAAGTGGGGTTATGACCAGACTGAGATGAATGCTGATCTTCCAGACAGGTCTGGGACCAAACTGTGGCAAAAAGAAAGTGGACTTTCTCTTCTAGGAAAATGGACTTCCCTGACCAGAACCAAGTTTCTTCACGGCTTCACGATCCAGTCGCCTCTGCCCTTGAGCCTGTGCTCCTGGCATGGCAAAGGATGTTCAGTTCCACAAATGGGTTATGCTCTCACCACCACGCCCTTTATGTATCTGACTGATATTCCCTCTGACGGAAACACCTTCCCAAGTCCCCTCCATCAGCACCACACTGTTAGCTGGCTGACCTTCCTTTCTTCCTTGCTAACGTTTTAGTTCAGTGGAAGCCACAGGGCCCACCCCTGGGGGACAGAGCTGTGACTACAGCCTGCCCATTGAGCTTTGCTGCTTTCCCAGCAGAACTCACCGTTTAAGGCATCCATAGGACTCATTCCCTGGGCAATGACATCTGAGGATGTTTCTCGGATGAATTCTTCTTGCTTACAGTTCGTTAGAAGTGTAAGTGGCGCACAAGAAGGTGGCAAGGAAGCCGACAAGCCCTCTAGAGGACAGACCACAGGAAGGATGTTTCCTGGGTGGTCACTGAGCCATGAACAATACCTGAAACTGCCTGCCTGCAAATTTACATAAGCCAAGTATTTCCCCATTTACCAGTTTCCCTCACAGCTGAAAACATTCCTGACTGATGTATCAGCTTCTTGGTTCCAACTTTTAAACAGGTCACTTTCTCCCGGAAACATCTGGTTGCTAGACAAAATCAAGGGACTTTTTCTTCCAAGACAGTCCATCATGCCTGTCTTGGTCAATTTCTTTGACCCTGAGACACAATGCCAACACCTATAAATTAAAGGACAGGTTGATTTGGCTCCCATTTTCAGTCCACAATTGGCCAGCTCCATGGCAGGCAGACATCGTGGAAAGGTCTGGTAGAAGAAAGCAACTCACATCAGGGTTGCTAGGAAGCAGAGAGAAGGGAGGAGCCAGGGAGGAAAGTAGACCCTTCCAGGTACGGCTCCAGTGACCCACCTTTCAACAAGTCCCACTAGAATCAAAAAGTAAACCCATCTCCAACAGTAAGCTGGCTGCAGCACCCCCTTAACCCAATCACCCCTCCACAAGCCCCACCTCTGAACGCATGAAGCTTCAGATTGTTCCAGATCCAAACAAGTCTTTTGAGAACTTTGGTTACCTGTTCATTTGCCTGTATGATCCAGTTGCGAGACAGGTAGCAGGGACCTGCTGGTAATTACATTATTGTCCTGTTTTTCAGACAGGGTCTCCCCACGCAGCCAAGGCTGGCCTTGAACTCATGATTACAAGCATGCATTAACATACCCAACTCTCACCGTTTTACTTTTAACCAGCAATCTGTTGAATAAACAAGCACACCTGCAGATGAGATTAATTGCGGTTGTTTTTGTTTTGAGACAACAAATGCTGCCCAAACTAGATTTGACTTGCAATCCTACTTGTCTCCCAAGTAGCTGTGATTACAGATGTGCATCATGACACCTGGTGCCCTGGCACAAGCTTCTGAGGGCAAAGATGGGATGCAGACGGAGTAGCTGAATGACAATCCCTTAAAGGGAGGGGTGAATGTGAGGCACCACATGAAGATGGTGTCACTTTGCCAGCCTAGAAAGCCAGAGGCTACTCCCTGCACAGGCAGGCAGCACTCCCTCGTGACCCCTGCACTCCATCTCATTGCCCTGTTACTAGTCGAGACACACTTGCCCCTGCATGTCCATTCACGTGTGGTTTCAAGGTGCTCAGCTGTATGTGGAAGGACAGCAGGATACACAAGCTTCTACCTCCTCCCACAAAGCAGCAAATCAAAGTTGCAGAATCTCGATACTATCTCACACTATCCCTTTCAGTCTGTGTACCTGTTTACTCATCTATAAGACACTGCAAAGTCTCATTATGAGTCACCCAGTTTCTCCTATTTTTGCATTTTATGTGTCACCTTTCTACTTCCTTTATGCCCCTCCCAAAGGCTGATCCTGTCTCCCACAACAAGCAGACATCTGAGCACATACCCTAAGCTGAACGCTTTCATTACTTCATTTAATCCTCAAAATGATGTTTCATGTTACACAGGAGAACAGAATATTGACAGCACCCAATGAGTATACGTAGCTATCTTAGACATAACACAGGAAATGCTCCCTAAAAACTGCCATCACAATTTTGTTTTTTGTTTGGTTTGGTTTTGTTTAGTGGTACCAGGGATCAAATCCAGGCCCTTGCATAGGCTAGGCAAGCCCTCTACACTGAGCTGTATCTCCAGCCCCTGCCACAGTAATTTCTGTTCCCCTTTTGTCAATGAAAATATGAGACCCAGCAAATAAGCTCTAGGGAGCTGTGTGTCCCCAACCCCAAAGCATTTCAGAGTTAGGCCAAGCCAGACAAGAAACTCAGCCTTGGAATAATACCTAAAGGACAGAATTAATTGTTTGGGTACAAAAATTTATTATACATAAAGAGTATCACCACTAATGAATGTAGACCAGCTAGGACACAACAGCATCAGGTGCTGGGAGGATGGCTAGCTCTCTGGAGAGTAGACAGGTTTGGGTGGCTTGGGAGCTTCATGACACACTGACTGATCAGTTAGAAGGGCACACAAATATCAGGACAGCAAAGCTTTAGGGCGCTGAGTGACTGTTCTGTGTCCTCTGTGCCCACACTGTGTTCCTTGTCTGACATGGAGTGACAAAAGACAGCACAGACAAAAGCTAGCAAGTGCTGCAGAAGGGCTTCCTAAGGTGGCCCAGGCTTGTCTCTGAAGTCACAGCAACACCACTGTAAGCAATATGTTTAATTGGATGATTCCCACGAAGTATACATGAAGTTTCTAAACATCGCAATTGAGTGAAGTACAAAACATTAAGTTACAGGCTGTGGGAAGAGAAGGCAGCATCAATGGTGACACCTTCCAATCCTGGTTGTTCTAGGGGTAAAGGGTGGAGGAAGGTCTTTTTAAACCAAGCCCCTCACTTCAATGTACAAAAGAATTACTCTGATCAGTATTAAATTGTATTGAAAACAAAATGGGCTAAAAAGCAAATACTACTCTATGTTTGGGTGGAGGTGGGAAGAAAAGAATGAGTCCTTCAAAGCAGGAAAGAGCTGAAGGAGGGTTCTGTGGCTGTGATCCACGTGGTCACTCGCGCTGCTCCATTTTCACTTTTGGTGGTCTCAAGAAGGTCCGATTTTTCTTTTCTTTCTTCCCCTTTGTATTTGCTTGGAAGTTTCGCCAGCTGTCCACCCGACCATCTCGACTTTCCTAAGAGAAAGAACCAAAGAAGTCTGACGTGAGGAAACTAGAACATACCCTGCCATCATCCCACACTCCTGTACCCCAGCCTATGTCAGCCTCCAGAGCAGTTCAAGAACCGACTGCAGCAAAGTTTTGCTCACACCAGGAGTAGTGCACACCTGCAATCCACACTTGTGAGGCTGGGGCCAAAAGACTGCTGTGAGTTCAAGGCCAGCCTAGGCTCCCTAGTGAGTTCAAGGTCAGGGTAAACTACACAGCAAGACCCTATCTCAAAACAAAACCAAAAAAGAAAGAAAAAAAAAGAAACAAAAATCCCAAAGAGTTTTGTTTTCATTTCCAGCGGCCTGGGAAAGTGGGTGCTGTCTCTAGAAGGCAGGATGAGCTCCAGCATGGAAGAGTAGGATATAGTCACTAACACTTATCACAACAGCACACAGCCCCAATTTGCTGGTGTCCTCTGAGCTTTTCAATTTTGTTTTTGTTTTACCTTTACAATGCCAGAGGTGGAACTCAAAACATACGTTACTTCTAACCCTCACAAAACCTAAATACTAGCCCAGCTTGGTGGCACATGTCTAGAATCCCAGAACTTGAGAGGCTGAGGCAGGACTGCCATGAGTTGAGGCCAGCCTTGACTACACAGTGAGTTCAAGGTCAGCCTCAAGGACAGTGAGACCCAAACAAACAAACAAACCAAAACATACATCTATCTATCTATCTATCTACCTATCTATCTATCTATATCTCAAATAAAAGCTAAGTACTATATGGATTATCACCAGCATTTCACAATGGTTACACTGAGGTTAAATTATTTCTTCAAAACCATACAGCTATAAAGTTCAGCGGCACAGTGCCTGTCTGGCAAGCACAAGGTCCTAAATTTATTTCCCAGTACAAAAAAAACCCACAAAAACCCACAGCTAGCAGCAGTACAGCCACTCATTCTGTTACACCTTCTTACTGCCCTCCCAGTCTTGGATGGATGCCCCAAACACAGCTGTGCTGAGACATAACGATCTCCACCTTGTTATGAAGGGGCTTACTCATTTTCTTTCTTTTCATTTGTGAAGAGGGACAGAAACAAAGGCATTAACTCTGGTCAGCCATCCCTACCTTAAGTTCTAAATTTTATAAAGGAAGACCAAACGTGGCTATGATCAAGAAACTGGCCAAATACCTGAAGGTATCTAAGAATCAAGTTCAAAAGCCAAAACTCCTTCTACAGGAAGGTAAGTGGGGTCATAAGAACTTTAGTCTCTATTAACTGTCTTCTCAGTAACAGGTATACTCATTGTTTATTCCCTGTACTAAGTGTACAATCCATTTTTCTCAGGTTTACTTGGCAGCTATACCTACCACACGCTCAACCCACTAGTCCTTGGCAAGGTCATAGGGCTTACAGGAGGCTGAGTTAGCACCAGGCCCATCTGCCCCAGCTCCCGTTCTTTCCCACAAATCCCATTTCCCACAATCTTCCCCATTCAACCCTAGAAATGCCCCAGGAACCAAGTCTCCGTATTACAGAATAAGAATCCTGACCACCATGGCAATTTACCTCAAAATTTTTCTGCCACTCTCTCTCTCGTTTGGCTTTTTCTTGAGCTTCAATCTCTTCTTCCCTTTGTCGCTTCCTAGGAAAAAAGGATCACCACAGTACTTATGTGATGCTGTCAGATTGTATTAACCACACAAGTTAAGGTGTATTCCCTATCAACTAAAGGTCTACACAAATGGCTGTCTGGAAAGAGCTAGCTCAATCCACCTGCATGAAGGTCTCATTCTACAACGTGCAGATCAGACTGTGGGCAGGGGTTAAGAAAGATATAAACATGTCCATTAACCACATGGATATTTAAGGTAACCTGCCAACAGCCAACAGCAATCTGAGATTTTAGACTCAGTTGATAAGAAAGCTTTGTCAACAATACAGATCTCCTCATTTCAGTGGAATGAACATGACAGTGGAAGTTCTTGATCAAGATTTCTGAACAAAGGGGCTGGGCATTTAGCTCTGCGGCACAAGCACCTGCCTTGCAAGCAGGCAGTCGTGAGTTTAATCCCCGGTACCGATAAAAAGGAAAAAGACAAAAAAAAAAAAAGATTTCTGAACAAACTCAATCATACAATAAAGGCCTAGCATAAAAATCTAGTTCTTATTAAATCAACAATACAAATATGTAAACCAAACCAATCTCAATTTTTTTTTTTTTTTCTTTTTTATCGGTACCGGGGATTGAACTCACGACTGTCTGCTTGCAAGGCAGGCGCTTATGCCGCTGAGCTAAATCCCCAGCCCCTAATTTTTTTTTTTTTTTTTTTAAAGATAGGATTTCACTACGCAGTTCAGGCTGGCCTTGAACTCACAACAATCGCCCAGCCTCAACCTCCTGAGTGCTAGGATTACAGGCACATATCACCACACCATCTGGCTTTATTACCACAAAAAAAGGATACTTTAAAACAGTAACATTTTTTAAATGGATATATTATACAAATACTACACTCACCAGAGCTGAAGCCACAAGTCCCACAAAAGTTCTGGCTTCAGTAACAACAGCCTCACTAATTGTCTATTTCATTCCAGAAAGTTAGAAAGAAAACACACAGCATTTTTGAGGTCTACATAGTATTTCTCAAAATCAAAAAGAAAAGTTTTTACTCTAGGAATTCAAAAGCTTGGCTATTTGAAGTGACTACTTTAGACAGTCTCTTTAAAAGTATGTATTATCTAGCCAGGTATGATAACACATACCTGTAATCTCAGCACTCATGGAGCTGAAGCAGGAGATCACTGTGAGTTTAAGGCCAGCTTGAACTACACAGCAAAATCCTGTCTCAAAAAAAAAAACCTATTACCTAATTCCTTCACCAGGAAAAATCCCCATGTAGCTAACTGACACATTTAGATGTCCTTCAAGTGAAAATATACATGTGTACCTTTCATGCATCTCTTTGGCTTCTCTCTCTTTCCTTTTAATTTCCAGCTCAGCAAACAGTTTCATGGTCTGCTTATATACTGCTTGTTTAAACTGTAAGGAATTAAGAATGAAAGAAAATAGAAGTAAATATTTTACCAGAAATTCAAATTCTTGTATTTGACGATCAAGACAAAAGCAGATTAGAACTCTAAAAAGAAAAAAGATTCTTCAAAGTAACAATTAACTACATTACTTCTCTTGGGAGATAAATAACCCAGATACCTAATAACATCTTTTTTTCCTTCCTTCCTTCCTTCCTTCCTTCCTTCCTTCCTTCCTTCCTTCCTTCCTTCCTTCCTTCCCTCCCTCTCTCCCTCCTTCTTTTCTTTCTTTCTTTCTTTCTTTCTTTCTTTTTTGGTGGGGGAATAGTCCACCCAGGACCTTCACACTGAGCTGTATTTCCTACCCTTATTGGTTTTTTAGGGTTTTTTTTTTTTTTGTGGGGAGGTGTATTTTTCATCTTGAGACAGGTCTTTCCTAAATTGCCATGCTTCCCAGGCAGTATGCAAACACAACAATCTTCCTGCCTCATCTTCCAAGTGTGCTGGGATTACAAGAATATACCATAATGCCCAGCTTTGAGAGTTCTTAAGTCTTGCACTTGAGAAACTGAGGCAGGAGAATCAGGAGTTTGAGGTCAGCCTGAGCTACACAGGAGACCCAGGCTCAAAAAACTAAAAAAAAGGCAAAACAAACCGAGATTATATTTCTGCTCTATCTTTAGAATTTGTTCTGCCCAACATAATGTATTTTTGTGGTTTTTTGTTTTTTTTTGTCTTTTTGAGACACAGTTTCACTATGCAGTTCAGGTTGGCCTTGAATTCATTTTGTAGCCCAGGCTGGCCTTAAACAGCAATCTTTCTGCCTCAGCCTCCTAAGTGCTGAGATTACAGGTATGTACCATCACATCTGGTCTATGATGTTTTTAAATATGTATGAAAGTACAGGGCTGGGGACATAGCTCAGTGGCACAGCGCCTGCCTGGCAAGCACAAGGTCCTGAGTTCAACTCCTAGTACCAAAAGAAAGCACAGAAAATAATTCGACATACAAATTTAATATGGCCTACATCCTAAAACTAGAGGCACAGAACAAAGACAGATGTGCACAGAAAAAGGGAAATAAAGGAATCTCAAATTTTTTGCCACTTTTTTTTAACACTGTCACCTTCTAGGCACTGCTCTGCACAGTGCTGATAGATTTGTCCTTAATAAGGACACCATTAAACAGGTGAAGGACTCTGTAAGGAATACTTTGCATCTTTAAACACTATAAATGCTCTTGGGTAGACAGACACTAATGATTTGCATTTTTTGGTATCTTTCTACCACTTCCAAATCTTTTATCATCATCATGTTCTTCACAATCATGAAAAGATAACTAAAAAAAGCTAGAGCCATTTGCCTGCCTGTAATCTCAGCCCTTTGGGAGGTTGGAGCAGGAGCATCAACTGAGCCTCTGAGTTAGGGGCCAGCGTGGGAAACACAGCAAGTCGCATCTCCAGGGAAAAAGGCTGGGGCTCCTAGCAACTTAAAAGAAAATGTGGATTTCTAAGTTCAGAAAGGACTCAAGAGGACAGTTAAAGATAAGGAAAAGTAGCACTGAGGACAAAGCCCTAAAACACTGGAGCAGTAAACCCACAGCAGGTGGCAGGCAGAAAACCTGACCTGACAGTTCTCAGGCAGTGTTGTCACACAAATGGGACTATCTTCTGTGAGCAAAAGCAGTGAAGTAAGAACTGCAAGGAAGCAGCAAGACTGTTTTTCTCCTATAAATCTTGTTTAAAAAATAACAAGTAGATGCTAAGATTGAAGATGACTATAAATTTCTCAGTTTTTTTTTTTTTTTTTTTTGTCTTTTTCTTTTTTATCGGTACCAGGGATCGAACTCATGACGGTTTGCTTACAAGGCAAGCACTTATGCCACTCAGCTAAATCCCCAGCCCCAATTTCTCAGGTTTTTGAGGCAAGTAAACACAAATGAGCCAGTGTCCACAAAAGAAGCCATCCAAAAAAATAAAAGAAGCCATCCAGTTTCCTCTGTAAGACATCATCTAGAGAAACATGAGCCGTGAGTATCAGGACCAACAGACAACCAAGAGTTGGCTGTTTCCTTCCCAAAGTGATCTACACTGTTTGCAATTGCAGTTTTGTGATTTAAACGCCAATAGAAACTGATAAATATGCTGATAAAAATAAATGTTTGCCCAGGATTTAGCTCAGTGGCAAAAGCTCCTGCCTGGCAAGTACAAAGTCGTGAGTTCAATCCCTGGTACCACAAAAAAAAAAAAATCCTGGGTCTCACCTTAAAAGATAAATGTTTGTTTCCTTGAAAGACTCAATAAATGAGTCTTAAAAATAACTGGTGGTTAATATATTGGCACATGCCTGTAATCCCAGTACTTGGAAGGCTGAAACAAGAGGCTCACTGTGAGTTACAGACTAGCCTGAACTATACAGAGAGACCCTGTGTCAAAAAAAAAAACACCACTGGTGGTAAACTAGGTACAGTGAGACACCTGGAATTACTACAAAGAATCGTATCTAAAATTCTACTCTTGGATTGCTTCCCAAGTGCCTAAGTTCCAATGTACTTCAAAAGAAATTAAAAGTAGAAACATAAACAGTATTTTTATGTGTGGCTTATAAAAAAGTCAACTGTGGAGCTAGGGATTTAACTCAGTAGTGTAAGTGCCTGCCTGGCAAGTACAAGGTCGTGAGTTCAATCCTTGGTACCAAAAAAAAAAAAAAAAAAAGTCAACTGTGAACTCAGTAATCAGCAGATGTATACTCAAAAACAAAAAAAAACCCACCATACCCTTATGTGACAGAAAGGGTGAGTGAATGCTCATTTACATGTTTTTAAAGTTACAATATAGACTGTTTATAAGGTGCATTCATTATCTCTTAGGCCTTTCTCTAGCCCACCAATCAGTGGACCCACTCACGGAATGTAAAGTGGCTTTTCCTGTATTTGACTCACCAGCTCCGGATCATCCTCCTCCACATTTGTAGGTTTTCCTTCCTTCTTTAGTTGTTTTTTTCGTTCCTTCACCTAAAAAGAATTTCTTTCATCAAAAGATGAGCACTCATACTTTGAGAATAATCCACCAAGGTACACAATATGATAGGTATATTTTTCTGTAGCCATAGGTGTAACAAAGTTGCAGTCAGTAAAGATGAGCTCTCCCAACCCCAATAAAAAGAAACCCTGCAATACAACCAAAAAAAGAGTAGGAATGTTCAGTCCTTCTCTAACCTTGTCTAAAATCCAATCTAACAAGAGGATGAAAGGGAGCAGAGGGGAGTTGTTAAGACTCATCAGATCAAGCATGATCCAAACAGCCTTAGATATAATCAACAGATTACCTGTTTATCATTCTCAAATTATAGTTACGTAGTTATAGAGGGGAAAAAAGTCAAGTTCTAGAATAAGCAACAAAATCTACAATGTATTAGATATAAACAGTATTTTTCTAGCATTTCTACAACCTCATTCTTGATTATTTTCACTGTGTACCTCTCCCCTAGTAATTTTCACATCGCACTGTTTTCTAAGTGTTTGAGAGCAAACACTACCCAGCAAGCACTTGAACCACTGAGCTAAATCCCCGGCCCAGGATTGACAATACTCCTTGAAATAATCTATTATACCATCAAAAGAACAAGTGCCTTCCAAACTCAGAAAGGCCCTACTGCCACCCTGTGGTGAGGAAGTCTAACAATGACTTCCTTACAGGCAACACATACAGAACAGGTAACTACCACAAGGATTCAAGGAGAAACAGGTACACACTTTCCCAATTTCTGCCAGAACTGAGCCTACAAGTGCCACTTTCAGCACATGACCAAGAAGGCACAGTTACAACTCTTTATTTTTTACTTTTTACTAATCTTTTTTATCTAAACTGGATTAATTTATGAAGTTCTGTTTCAGAGTCCTAAGTTTTAAAAGGAAAGTCACATTCACATTCGCTTGCTTCTGAAATAGTTTTTATAAATGGCCTTGAGATTCTTTTTTTTTTTTTTTTTTTTTTTTGCTCCAGCACATAAAATATTAAAATAAAAACCCTCCTTACCACAAGCAAGTTATTTTCTACCACTTTGGAGATTTATGTTAAAATCCGAAAGACGTCAGATATAACTGAATTTCTTTCACTTGAATCATTTCCAACCATGTTATTAATATACACATGGATTTTTTTCCCCATTTTTAAAAATTTTACTCAAATGTCCTTGCCAGTCATCCTCAAGCCCATGCTTCAATCCCTTCACAGAGACAAGAATAAAAATCAAGAGTCAAGCCATGGCCACCAGCCCCCTCCACTATTCCACTCTCAGTGGGGTAAGAGGGCAACGTGACAAGGGGGCAAAAGCAGTCCTCTGTCCTCAGCACACAAGTGGTGGAGGAAGAAGGAGAAGCTGCGCCCTGGCTCTTCCTGCTCGTGAGCTCTTCTTTTAAGGGTCGATTCTAGCTTTAGGCACACATTATTCATGACCGCTATAACTACCCAGTGATCTTGTATGTACTCGCTAGTCGAGCTGGTGGGCCTGCTACTTTTACATTTACCCTCCTCCAAGGTGCCCAGGGCTTGCTGATACTTCCTTAAACACAGCAGCACTATAAATACTTACAGTGTGTTCCACGTATTCTTTTCCTGCCTGAATTACATCCAGGGCCCTCTTCTTTTGTTCCTGATCCAGTAGCAACTTGTAAGCTTTGTCCACAGCTAATGCAAAACATTGAAATTAACTGTTTCTGCAAACACCCTCTGAAAGGCTGAACTATACTCAGGCAGTGCAAATGAACTTGTGCTCTCTAAAAGCACTCCCTCGTTTGTTAATTTACTCCTGTTAAACTAACTTAAAAAAAAAAAACCATAAAAATACAGTGATGACCTTGAAACCATCAGAAAAAAATTACATACACACTCAAGGCTGAACACAACACATCCACATTTAACTTGGTAATAAAATAGTTCCTAATTTATGCTCAAAAAAAATCCTATGAAGTAACAATCTTTGAGGATGCAAAAACAATAAGACAAAACAAAGTCATGGTCTACTTTCTTTCTTTCTTTTTTTTTTTTTTTTTTTTGTAGCGTTGAGGATTAAACCCAGGGCCTTGCGCATGCTAGGCAAGTGCTCTATGACTGAGCTGTACCCCCTGCCCCCAAGGTCTACTTTTTTTTTTTTTTTGTCTTTTTATCGGTACCAGGGATCAAACTCACGACTGCCTGCTTCCAAGGCAGGCACTTATGCCGCTGAGCTAAATCCCCAGCCCCCCAAGGTCTACTTTTAAACAACAATCTCTTTTTACTGAAATCCATAGCTTTAACTTTTTTTTCTTGATCTAAGACAAAGAATAGTTAATCTCTAGCATAACATATTATTCAGATGCAGGTTAAATTTACAAATACCTTCAAAAGCCTTTTGTGCTCTGTCAGCATCATCTTGGTTTTTGTCCGGATGCACCAATATGGACAACTATATAAGAGAAAAGTTAAGCTTGTTAAAAACAGAAATATTTAGTATCTCTTGGGCTGCACTATGATCCTTTATAACCAAAAGCTTTAAGGTATGATGGCAAAAAAAAAAAGACTCTTAGTTTTTAAAATATACAAATCTCGCTGGGCATGGTGGCACAAACCTGTAATCCCAGCACTGAGGAGGGCTGAGGCAAAAGAACCACTGCTAGCTCAAGGACTGAACTGCATGGTGAGATCCTGTCTCAAAACAACAACAAACATAAATTCCATCAAATGCCCAGAAATATGGGTTTTTTTGTTTTGTTTTTTTTTTTTGTCTTTTTCGTTTTTATCGGTACCAGGGATCGAACTCACGACTGACTGCTTGCAAGGCAGGCGCTTATGCCGCTGAGATAAATCCCCAGTCCCGAAATATGGTTTTCAAAATAATTCAAACACCAAAACATACCTGCACAACTAGGAAACTGAGTTTTATACACCACTTTGAGAGCAAAAGGAAACTTATCATTACCCAAGTGCTATAATAATTTGGGAAAGGAAGGAGAATGCAAAGTACTGAGTTCTGCTGTCCCTTGTCTTGAGCACTAAGGTGACAAGCAGGCAACATCACCTCTACTCTGTCCAATAAGAACATAAATGGTACTTCTCAGTTCTGGATGCATCCCAATTCTGTGAAACTTTCCAAAAATTCTTACGCTTACTTTCTATTTTCAGATCTGAATCAGCCATCACACCACTTTCCTTTTTTTATTTAGGGAGGATATATGCTAAGTATTTAGGGGAAAGCATCATCATGTCTTCACTTTACAAGTATTTCAGTCAAATATATATAATGAAGTCACTACTGGACATATTACATATGACACTACTCTCCATTTTTTCTTTCTAAATTATAAAATTTTTATAAGAAAGTTAAGGCTGTCAGATGCCTACAATCACAGCATTCAGAAGGCTGAGGCAAGAGGATCATGAATTCAAGACCACACTGTGCTACATAGCAAGTCTACATCTAAGGAAAAAAAAATCCCCAATAGGTGTTTCTTTCAGACATTCACATTTAACATTCCTGACATTCTGTCACAGTCAGAAACCAGAATTGTGTTTGGGAAGGAAACCAATGTGAAGTCTAGCACTAATGGAGCCCTAATCCTAAATTCTGATTCCAGCTTCAATCACTTGCTAGCTATGAGATAGTCAACTATTCAATTTATCTCTGCCGGGGGCTGGGGATTTAGCTCAGCGGCATAAGCGCCTGCCTTGGAAGCAGGCAGTCGTGAGTTCGATCCCCGGTACCAATAAAAAGGAAAAAGACCAAAAAAAAAAAAAATTTTACCTCTGCCTCAGTTTCCTGCTCTAGAAATAGAGCATTTAGAATATTAAGTGCTTACATCTAAACAGGTTTTTTTAAGGAAGAAATACAAATAAAGAAGAGGGTGTACTGACACACCCTGACAACAGTTAGTGTACAATGAGGACATATGTGTCAAGACATCCTAGGTGCTTTATGTGTGACAGCACACTTAAATACTTGTAAGTACATTTTACAAAACAAGGTTACATGCACAGAACAGTCCAAAGTAATTTACCCAAGTTCACACAGCCCACAAGTGGTAGATTTAAATAAAACCATACAGTCCCAATATCTGCAATGCCTAACTGTAAGACCATATAAGAAATGTATAATAGTCATTGTACAAAAGAGAGGAAAAGAAAGTGCTCTAAACGATACAACTGCATGTATATTTAAGTGTATAAGATAGACAATGATATTACTGAGTTTTGTTGGACCATTGAACAGAACTGTTTGGTCTCACTGTTTGAATGTCCACTATATAAGCTTTAATTTTGTAACTTGAACAAATATTTCTAAGATGACAATATGTAATCCATTAATTAGTGATTTCCTACTGTTTATTATTTTTCTGAAATTCTGTATAACTTGTACCCTTTCTCTGCTTTTTTTTCTTTTTCTCCTTAAATAAAATTTTTAAAAAATTTTTTAAAAAGTAAGGAAAAATAAACTTAACTCTTCAAAAAAAAAAGACCACATAAGGACCCAATAAAAATACTTTTAACTCAAATTACTGAGTTTTCAGTGACAAGAAATTGTTTAGAATAAGGATTTGAGGTAGGCACATTGGTGCTTACCCATAATGCCAGCAAAGTTCGAGGCCAACCTGAAGTGCAAAGTGAGTTCAAGACCAGCCTGAACTGCATAGTGAAACCTTATCTCAAAAAGACAAAAAGACAGGCTGGGGATTTAGCTCAGCGGCATAAGTGCCTGCCTGGCAAATGCAAGATCCTGAGTTCAATCCCCGGTTCCACAAAAAAAAAAAAAAAGAAAAAAAGAGTAAGGAAAGTGCTTGTTTATTAAACAGGGAAACACTACTTACTAATGCATTATAGTAGGAAACGAGATTTTTTTTTTTTTTAACTTGGATCAAACTCATGACCGCCTGCTTGGAAGGCAGGTGCTTATGACGCTGAGCTAAAGCCCCAACCCCAGGAAACAAGATTTTTAAGAAAAGAAAAAAAACTGAATTTTAAGTGCAGAATAGAGTTCAGAAAGAAAAAAGGCTATAAAGTCATACAATCAGAAAAGATTGAGCAGGTAAGGATAAAAAAGATCTTGACTTAATAGCAGATCAGAAGATGACTATGAGCTAGCAATCTGAGAAAATTACTGCATTAAACAAACAAGTATTGGGGCTGAGGGTTTAGCTCAGCAGCATAAGTGCCTGCCTTGCAAGCAGGCAGTCGTGAGTTCAATCCCCGGTACAGATAAAAACAAAAAAAGACCAAAAAAACCCCCAAACAAACAAACAAGTATTCAACCCTGGACATTAACAAGTGCATCATGCAGAAGCAGAGTATTACGTTCAGCACTGCTCAGATCCTGTTAAAATACAAAGTACATAAGAGATACAAAGAAATTAAGGTTACAAAATACATAAAACATACAAAAAATCCAAATTGAAAAGACACAAGGAAGTGATTATTCAACTCCTATAAAGATTCTAGAGGATTATTAACTGTCAAAACTGAAAGGATTGTTAAAAGGGTTATATGAAGCTAGGCATGATAGTATATGCCTGTAATTTCAGCACCTGGGAGACTGAAGCAGGAGGCTCCCCAGTCCAAGGCTAAATTACCTAACAAGTTCAAAGTTGCCCTGGACTACATAGCAAAATCCTGTCAGGGGAAAAAAAAGTTATTATAAAACTCTGTATAATCATTGAATGCAGATGTCTTGTGCTCTGTGTGAATAATTTGGAGATGACAATGTACAGTGTATGTACCATTGTTACCCCGACTGACATTATTTTGAAATTTTTAGGTTTTTTCCTTTTTCTCCTTGAAAATACAAACAAACAAAAGGACTTTGTATTCTGAGTCACTACATATAAGAATGGGGTGTGACAGCGTACTCCTGTAATCCTAGCACTCAAGAGGCTGAGGTAGGACAGCGGCTGAGGTAGGACAGCCGTGAGCTCAGGGACAGCCTGGACTACCTAGTGAGTTCAAGGCCAGCAAGACTTCGTCTTGAAAAAGCAAAACAAAACGGGTAAGAATCGAAAACTATAGAATACTTTCCTGGGGGCTGGGGATTTAGCTTAGTGGCATAAGCGCCTACCTTGTAAGCAGGCAGTAGTGAGTTCGATCCCTGGTACCGATAAAAAGGAAAAAGACAAAAAAAAAAGAACTACTTTCCTGGAGAACTTTCACAAAGCACTCCTTATATTAAAACAGTATTTCCTGGGTATTTAAGTTTGCAAGAGATGACATTACAGAGAAATACAATTAGGCACCATATCCCAGCTATTCAGGAGGCTAAACTGCCTGAGACCAGAAGTTTGAAGCCAACCTGTGCAACTTAGCAAGATCTTACCTCTAAAGAAAATAAAAGTATTGGAGGTAGGGGGAACCAGAAATTGAACTTAAGACTTTGAACTTGGCAGGCCTGCACTTATGCCGCTGAGCTATATTCTTAGCCCAAGAAAATAAAAGTATTGCAGGACGAAGCTTTAAAGCTAAAAGGCTGTTACGAATCATTTGGCATACTCTCTCTTGGGAGCCCAAACACTTTGTAGTAAGACTCCATACAAGTTCTACTATTCCATCTTATACTTATTGATCTTAATCAAGGGGATGGAAAGATTCTGCTTGAACATAAAATTCATTCTCTTTGCAAGTTAGCACTGATCATTAAATTATTTAACATTCTGTCACTGAGTTTGTTTTTAAAAACAAAAACAGGTATCTAGATTTAAAATGGAGGGGGGAAAGATTTAAATTTTGGCCCAAGTCCTAAAAGAATTGCATGCTTCACATATTCTCTCTCTTTCTTTTTTTTGGAGATAGGGTCTTACTACATAGTTCAGCTGGCCTTGAACTCACTTTTGTAGCCCAGTCTGCCCTCCAACTTGAAATGATTCCCCCATACCGAGCTCTTCACGTATTTGCAAAAGTTTCAAGCTCTATTACAAAGAAATAGTACTGTACCTGACGAAATCTCTTTTTTATTTCTTCATCTGTCACTTCAGGATCTATCTGAAGAACCTGGAAGAATCAAAATCAAAACCATAAAAAAGATTAAGTTTCTATTTAAGAGGTGGCCAGTAATTTTTTTTTTTTTTTTTTTTTTTTTTTTTGTCTTTTTCGTTTAATCGGTACCAGGGATCGAACTCACGACTGCCTGCTTGCAAGGCAGGCGCTTATGCTGCTGAGCTAAATCTCCAGCCCCAGTAATTTTATACAATAGGTCTGAGGTAATGGCTCAATGGTAGGGAACTTACCTAGAGGCCCAGAGTTCAATTCTCAGGACCACACACACTCACACACAAATACATATACAGACAAACATACAAATACTACATACATAAAATTAGCATTCATTTAGAGCCGTGTATCACATTCTAGAAAACTGGGTAGCATGGTTCTAAAAACTGCTCGCGGCTGGGGATTCAGCTCAGTGGCATAAGCACCTGCCTTGCAAGTGTGCAATCTGGAGTTCAATCCCCAGTACCAAAAAAAAAAAAAAACAACTGCTCGAAGGGCTGGCGATTTAACTCAGTGGCACAAGCACTTGCCTGGCAAGTCTAAGGTCGTGAGTTTGATACCCAGTACCAAAAAAAAAGAAAAAGAAAAGGTTGCTAAAAACTGCTTGAGAAATATGATCAAATCAATGAGAGTAACAATGATATTGTTTTAGGGTTCTCAGTTAATATAATGCTTTCTCTCCATCAGAAAATAATTTATTTAAAATCAATAAATAAATCATTTACCTTACACCCAGAGACATGCTTTTGTGGTGCTGGAGACAAACCCAGGGACTCTCACATGCTGGGCAAATATACTACCACTGAACCACACCCCAGCCCTAGAAACATGTTTTGATACACTGAGAAAATGTTCTCCTCCATTAAGAAAACTGTTGCTACACCTCTTATCTTTATAAATGCACACAGTGGGGGATTTAGCTTAGTGGCTTAAGCACCTGCCTCGAAAACACAAGGTCATGAGTTCAATCCCTCATACCAATAAATAAATAAATAAATGCAAAGAAAACACAACTCAACAAGGAAGAAAATCAGGCCAACTACTTAGTTTTCATCTCAAAGCAGAAATACTCAGCAAGTCTCAACCCAAAATGAACAAAGGAACCACAGTGGAAACCTGCAAGCAAAACCCACTTTAAGTGGTGCACACTTGTAATCACAGCACTCAAGGAGGCTGAAGCAGGAGGATCACTCCAGGTTTAGGGCCAGCCTGAGTATACTATCGTCAGTAAACTACTCAGTGAGACCCTGCATCCAAAAAAAAAAAAAAAAAAAACAAAACGCACTTTAAGAAACTCTGAGCTGGGCATGGTGACTCATGCCTGTAACCCCAAATACTCTGTAGGGTGAGGCAGGAAGATGTTTGAGGCCAGACGGGACTACACAGCTGAATTTAAGATCAGCCCGAAATATACAACAAAACCTTGTCTCAAAAAAGAAAGAGAAACACACCAGCAAGGTGTTATAGGTCTATAATCTTAACACTTAGAACACTGAGGCAGGATGATCATGAATTCAAGACCAGCTTGGACTACAGGGTAAGACCCTGCCTCAAAAACAAAACAAGGGCCAGGGATTTAGCTCAGCAGCATAAGTCCTTGCCTAACAAGAGTGAAGTTGTGAGTTTGATCATCAGTACCAAAAATGAAAAAATAAAAAAGACAAAAAAACATACCAATGTCAGGCATGATGATACATGGCTCAAATCCCAGCACGAACGGAGGCTGAGACAGAAGGATAGCAAGTTTGAGGCTTCCGTGGACAATTTAACAAGACTCTTTCTCAAAATAAAAAGTAGAAACAGTTGAAGATGCAGTTCAGTGGTAGAATGTTCTCAGGTTTGATAACAGTGGGGAAAGGGAGATTTTGTTTTTGTTTCATTTTGTTTGTTTGGGTAATCCTGAGGATTGAACCTAGAGCCTTCTCACTGAACTATTTCCACAGAGAGGTGGTGCTAAGTCACGGAGTACTGAAGCCCTACATAGAAAGATAGCCTGACGTGGAGCGCCAAAGTGAGCTGCAAGGGAAATCCCCAGTGAGGTATGGTGACACACCTCTGTAATCCCCACACTCTGGAAAGCTTGAGACAGGAAGATCTCAAATTCAAGTCCACTGTGGGCAATTTAGCAATTTATGAAGACCCTAAGACAAAATAAATAAAAAATGGAGGGCAGGGATATAGCTCAGTGGCACGGCATCCGCCTGACAGGCACAAGGTCCTGAGTTCAATTTCCAGTACCAAAAAAAAAAATGGATTGGCACTATAGCTCAGCATGAAGGCCCTCAGCTTTAAAAAAAAAATGTACGCTGACAGACAGCCCAGCATAAGGTGTCAAACATAAGCAGGGTGACAATACCAACGTGGGAGGAGCCAGGTGTGATAGAACACTACAGTAATCTCAGTATTTGGAGACTGAGGTAGGAAGACTGCCATGAGGTTAAAACCAGCCTAGGCCAAATAGTGAATTCAAGGCCAACCTGAACTACACAGCAAGACCATATCTAAAAAAGAAAGAAAACCGGGCATGGTGGGTCACGCCTGTTACCCCAGCACTTGGGAGGCTGAGAGGCAGGACAATCTGGGTGACAAAGTGAGCTCAAGGCCAGCCCGAACTGCATACTGAAATCCTGTCTCAAAGACAAAAAAAAAGAAAATATGAGTAGCTCTAAAGCCAATCATGGAGGCACACATTTGTAATCCCAGCTACTTAAGAGGCTGTGGCAGGAAGGTAAGTTTGATGTCAGCCTGAGCAGTTCAGCAAGACCTTGTCTTAAGTTTTTTAAAAAGGGCTAAGGCTGAGGCTTAGGGCAATGTTTTCCTAGCATGTGTGAGGTCTTGGGTTCAATCCATAGAACTGCAAAAAATGTATAACTACCAATAAAGTTTGAGAGTAGTACTTTTTACTAACAATGAGTCCATTTGGCACCTAAATCCCAATTTCTATGTATCATTTCTCACTAAAAGGAACTAGGGAAGGGCTGGGGATTCAGCTCAGTGGCAAAAGCACCTGCCCAGCAAGGGCAAGATCCCCAGTACCACAAAAAAAAGGAACCAGCGTTCCTTGGTGAAATGGCTAAAGACTGGGCCAAGAAAAGTACAAGAATGCCTAGTAGGGAAAAATGATGAAGACATGAAAAAAATACTGAAGCTAGCTTGAAAGGAAACCCACTGGTTATTCTTGGGACAATCTGAGGAACATAATGCCAACTTTTTATTTTTGTCTTTTTGAGACACAATTTCACTATACAGTTCAGGCTGATCTTGAATTCACTTTATAGCCTATGCTGGCTTTCAACTCGAAGTGATCCTCCTGCCTCAGCCCACTGAGGGCTGGGATTACAAGTGAGCACCACCACACCTGGCTTATATTACTGAATAAGGGACTGGGGATTTAGCTTAGTGGCGTAAGTGCCTGCCTTGCAAGCACATGTTCGTGAGTTCAATCCCCAGTACAAAAAAAAAACACTGAATGAAACAGAAAATCCCAAGTTCACATTGACAAATAAATGAATAAACAGAAACTTTGATAAGAACTGAGTATTTGTGCTGGGGATGTACCTCAGTAGTAAAGCCTAGTATGTACAATGCCTTGGACTGGATCCCCAGGCATCTCAAAGCGCGCCCTCACAAAATACTTGTAATTACAAACATGGTAAACAGCAATTTCATGAATCTAGAAGATACTTCTTTTCAAATTAACATTAGTAACAGAGGGTCGGGGGTTTAGCTCAGTGGTACAAGTGCCTGCTTGCCAAGCACAAGGTTGTGAGTTCAATCCCAGGTACCAAAAAAAAAACACAAAAAAACAAAACAAAAAGCCATTAGTAACAGAATAAATCAAAAGCATCTACAACTTTATAAGCTGCAAAGAGAAAAAAAGCAGCATTACTTCTATGATAGTCCCATCAATGTTGTATTAACTCAATTAATATGAGGAAACATCAGACAAATCCAAATACAGAGATGTGCTGCAAAACAACTAGCTCATAATCTTGAAAAGTATAAAAGTCATGAAAGTGAAGAAAGGGGTTTGCCAAGAGTGATGGTGCATGCCTGTAATCCTCACTTTTTTTGAGAATCGGCGGCAGAAAGATCACAGACTCCAGCCAAGAGTCAGCAAGATCTTCTTTCAACATAAAAAATAAAAAAGGGCTGGGGATATGACTCAATGTAAAGGACTATAGGTGAATTTCTAGGACAGCCAAACAAAAAAAAAATTAAGGAAAGACTGAAGAACTGACCGAGTATGGTGGTACACACCTGTGATCCCAGCACTCGGGAGGCTGAGGCAGGAGGATCACTGATAGCCTGAGGTCCGCCTAGACTACACAGTGCGTTCAAGGTCAGCCTAACTACATAGTGAGACTGTCTCAAAAAAAAAAGGAATGAAGAACCATTTCAGATATAGGAGATACTAAAAAGATATAATAACTAAATGATACAGGAGATTCTAAATTGACTCCTTTTGCTATAAAGAACATTACTAAAAGCAATAAAAAGAACTAAGATGTATTATGCACATGTACAAACTCCATGATAAATGTAATCATAATGTACTGCAAATACATACTAATAAAAATTTAAAAGAAAAAGTCATTCCTGAGATAATTAGGGAAATCTGAATGGGATCTGAAGATTAATGTATCAATGTTTATCTCCTGATTTTGACAGTTATATTATGGTTCAGAGAAAGAATGTTTGTAAAAAAAAATATTAAAGCAATGCAGGATGACAAAGGGATTATTTTTGGTTTTGTTTTTTGTTTTCATAAGACAACATTTCAGGCCAAGGATTTAGCTCAGTAGCATAAACACCTGCCGGGCAAGTGCAAAGTTGTGAGTTCGATCCCTAATACAAAAAAATATAGGGGCTGGGGATTTAGCTCAGCAGCATAAGCACCTGCCTTGCAAGTAGGCAGTCGTGAGTTCGATCCCCGGTACCGATAAAAAAAAAAAATATATATATATATGGCCAGGGATTTAGCTCAGTGGCATAAGCACCTGCCTTGCAAGCACATGGTAGTAAATTCAATCTCCTGTACCACACACACAAAAAGACAGGATCTCACTGCATAGTGCAGGCTGGCCTTGAATTTACTTACATAGCCCAGGCTGGCCTTGAACTCATGGCGATCCTCCTGCCTCAGCCTACCAAGTGCTGGGATTATGGTATGGACCACCACCCCTATCAATAGGGAATTCCCTATCAATAGGGAATCTTATTGACAAGAATAAATTTTGCACTAGCCAATTGTGGTGGTACACATCTCTACTCTCAGCTACTCAGTGGTTAAGGCAAGAGGACAGCAAGTTTGAGACCAGTCCTAGCAATTTACCAGGACTACCTTGAGCCATGCATGGTGCCACACACTTGTAATCTCAATACTCAAGAGGCTGAGGCAGGAGAATCACTGAGAGTCCAAGGCCTGCCTGGGCTACATAGTGAGTTGAAAGCAAGCCTGGGCTACACAGCAAGACTCTGCCTCAAAACAACAACACAAAGACTACCTCAAAATAAAATAAAAATAAAAAGTACCGCAGGTGTAACTCAATGATAAAGTGTTTGCCTAATAGTTCAATTCTCTGTTAAGCAAAAAAAGTTGTCTTCTAAGCATTCAATGTTATTTTTATTAGATACAGTATTTATTTTTAAATTATTTATAAATATAAGCAATATAAAGCTAACTTCAACATCTCACAATAAAAGAACTGAATATCTAGGCATGCTGGCACACTCCTGTAATTCCAGCATTCAGAAGAGTCTGAGACGGAAGGATTGTTGCAAGTTCAAGGTTAGCCTGGACTACATAGTGAGTTCATGGCCAGCCTGAACTACATAGCAAAACCTTATCTCAAAATAACACAAAAATAAATACATATTTAAGTTTTAAAAAATTTAGAAAATTTAAAAACATATTTGCTTATCTAAAATCTTACCATCTTTGTTTTGTGGCTGTTGGATATCTAGTATCTTTTGTTGTAAAACAGAAATGTTTTAACAACTAGTTTACTTTTTTTGTTTTGTAGTACTAGGTACTAAAGCCAGAGGTACTCTATCACTGAACTACATTTCCCAATCTATTTTATTTATTTACTAGTACTGGAAAGTAAACTCAAGGTCTTCCTACTGAGCTACATCCTCAGCTCTTTTTTCTTTTCTGTTTCTTCTTTTTTTTAAAGTTTGAGGCAAGATATCACTAAGTTGCTAGGTTGCCCATGCTTGGCTTGAATCTGCAATCCTCTTGTCTCAGCCTCACAGAGTACTGGCACTACAAGGTGTATAAATCATGTTTAACTCATTTTTTTTCATTCTGAGACAGTTTCACTAAGTTGCCTAAGCAGACTTCAAACTTGTGCTGCCTCAGTCTCCCTAAATGATGAGATTACATCACCTAGTAATTTACTCTCATTTCTGTGTGTGGTATTCTGAAGACTGAACCCAAGAGGCACTCACCACTCAGTTACATTCCTGCCCTTTCTTTTTTTAACCCTTTTTTAATTTTAAAAACAAAGAAAAAGGATAAAAGTGACACAGAATTTCAAAAAAAAATAAACAGAAAATTAACACTAGTTAATATATTACATATTATCTTTAAAGTAAATTAGGCAGATTATAAGATTTAGGCATAAAAAAGATCAATCAGATAATGAAAACACTATTCTTTTTGATGAACAGATTTTTATATACACACACATATATGTATGCATACATATATATATATATAATCTTTTCCCTTCTTTCTTTTCTCCCGTCCCAGTTGTTCTTTCCTTTTGAGCACTTTCTTTCTTTTTCATTTTCACAGTATCTATTGTATGTTTTGGATATTATTTACTTTTTTTTTTCTTACACTAGGGAGACAATATATTTACACATGTAAGTCTGATTATGAGTAAGATCTCTAGTTGCACCCATTTACTTATAAAAGCCTCAATTTTATCCTTCTTTATAGCTGAGTATATTGTATAAAAATACCAAATTTTTAAAATTCATTGTATAAAAATACCAAATTTTTTAAATTCATTCCACAGTTAATGGGTATTTGGGTTGTTTCCAAGATATGGCTATTACAAATTGTGCAGCATAAATGTGGGCACACTTATATTGCTATGGTATGATGTTCTCATCCAGGCTCCCCTCCTTGCTTTTTTTTTTTTTTTTTTTTTTTTTTTTTGGTTTTTTTGGTTTTTTCAAGACAGGGTCTCCTTAACTTGCCCAGAGAGCTCTCAATTTATAATCATCCTGCCGCAAATTCCCAACACCTGAGCTAACAGAGCTGCACTATCTCACCCAGCTTTAGTAAGTATGTAGTTTAAATCAAGGATCCTATTTCATCAAGTCCTTTATATTTCAAAATAAATCCTTTGGCGGGGGAGGCCACCAGGAATTTAACTCAGGACCTTGCACTTACTAGGCAGGTGCTTATGTCACTGAGGTGTAGCCTCAGCATAAATCCATATTTTATATGGATTTTTTTTTTTACATTTTTTACATTTTACAAAGACCTTCACAAGTGATACCCATTTTTCACTGTGACACAAGGTGTCCCTAAGTCATTAAACTGTCCAGGCTGGCCTTGAACTTGCAATCCTACTGGCTTAGCTTTGCAGAGTGTTGGGATTACGAGCATGCACCACTATGCTCAGTTAAATTCTTTTTTTTTTTTTTCCTTTTTATCGGTACCAGGGATCGAACTCACATCTGCCTGCTTTCAAGGCAGGCGCTTATGCCCCTGAGCTAACCCTCCAGCCCCGCTCAGTTAAATTCTTGTAGAGTATATTTATTTGGATTGCTAACAAGAGATGAAGAATATTTGACAGGACAAAGGCTGTCTCATTTTCTTTAACATGTTGCTGCCTTTCCAATTCTATGCACCAAAAAAACACAAAATACCTTCAAATTTGTACTTACTATACAAATTCAATCATGTTATCACTTTTCTCAAACAGTTTCTGAAACAAACTAGACATGTATTTTGATGTAAGTCTACTTACAGGTAGGAAAGGTTCCCCACCACAGTATAATCTGCTTACCTCGAATGGGTTTAAATTGAAGTAAGAGGATCCAGGACGGGTCAATCTTTCAATCTGATTTTTGGACGTAAGAACTGAATCTCTTTTCTCTATTTGTTTTACCTAAAATTAAGAGAGTTAAAAACTTCATTAGTAATATTCAAGAGTAAACTGAAATGTCTAACACAACACTTGCATGTTCAGAAATCACTTATATGTCTACCATGTACAAGTTATTTTGCTAAACACTTTGAGAAATAAATACAAAAGCAATCTTTTATTAGATTTTTAATAATATAAAAACATTACATGTAATCACTAATCTCAATAATCATATTAGATAGGTATAACTATTATGCCCATTTTGCAGATAAGAAAACTGAAGCTTAGAATGATTTGTTTTGTGAACTAGGTAAGTTTTTACTTGCAAAGGGAAAAATACAATTACATTTGAACATGAACTATAAGCAGTATTAAAAACCATTGTGGGAGAGAACAAATAACTACACCTACCTAACTCTAATAAAATTAGAAAAATCTCTGTCCAGAGGACAATATGAGGAAAACAAATACCAAGCAGTCCCAGCAAAACATCTTTGGGTCCACCGTCAAGCTGAAATCCTAGCTGGAATGAATCTCTGGTATATTATATACCATCTTTATTCCTATGGCTAAAACAAGGTTATAAAGAACTTCAGTAACAAAAAGTCACTTCTCAGCATCTACCCTCTTCACTATTTAAAAAAAAACATGACCACTCCCCCTCTTATCCTCTTTACCAAACTTACTGTCCTGGTAACGCATCACTACCTGGTGCTACACTGTTTATGGGTTGTTCTTGCAGAGAATGCAAGTTTTAAGACAGGCCTCTCTCCTCTGTTCACTGCCATATATCCCTAGCAGCTCAATGGCACAGCAGTATGTGGCAAGTGCTCAATAATCATTGGCTGAATTATTATTTACTTATTTATTCATTTGTCTTTTTAAGACAGGGTCTTGCCATGCTGTTCAGGCTGGCCTTGAGCTCACTTTGTAACCCAGGCTGGTCTCAAACTAGGAAGAATCATCCTGCCTCAGCCTCCCAGAGTGCTAGGATTACAGGTGTGCACCACCACATCCGGCTGGTTGAATTAGGGTTGAAGACTTTCCTTAAGTATTTTTTCCCATCTGATTCAAACAAACTTAGTTTTTTTTTTTAATTAAGAGGTGGCAAATAAAATAAATTCCACAATACTTGCTGATTTTTAAAAGCCAATAAACTTTGGTATAACAGGAGCAACACTTCCAAATGAATTAAATATTTCAAAAGGACAGACCATAAAGAATGTGCTACTTAATAACTTTAAATTTCTTTTTCGTTTTAGTTTGGTTTTTGAGGGTTTCCTGAGGGTTTTTTTTGGAACCTGGAATCAAATTCAGTTGCACTTACAAGATGCCACTCTGCTACTGAGCTATATCCCTAGCCTATTAAATCAATCAATCTCTACCACTGAGCTACATTCACAGCCCTAAATTTCTTACTGTACAGAGACTATGTAACAATCACTGCTATAAATACAGAGATAAAAGATGAATGTGGCTTGGTCTTTGATTTTAAGCAGCTCACAGCCTGATAAAACAGTTGAAGCTCACATCCATTCTGAAAACCCACGCCTACAAAAAGACCCAATATTCAGCCCTTGATAACTGAGAAAGATGTTTCTGTTTTATATTTTGTGAAACCTTTTCTTATATACTGACTCCCTTAATTCTCCTGAAAATATTTAATATCGTTCCCTCGTTTCACATGGAAACTAATGGTCTGTGAAACTGTCTGGAAGACTTCAATCGCGATCAGGTTAGCACTTCAATCTGTGAACCTCTAAATGACATTCTTTTCTTTCATTTATTCACTCACTTACTCAACAAAGATTTACTAAGGACTCTATATTTTAGGCGCTGGGTATGTAATAGTGAACGAGGCTTAGATTCAGCTAGATCCTAACATAACACCAAGCTATTATTACCTGCTGCTTTAAGACCCTAAACGAATTAAAATTCCTCACTTCTCTATACCTCAAGCTTGCGATCTGTAAAACTGGGAGTAACACAACGCCCTGTCATGACCATACTGTTTACGCATTAAAGAAGACAAACAAGAACGCTTCTGTTTAGAATAAAGACAGCTAAGTCACCCTCAAGAACGGCCCAGCCTCTGTGATCCCGCGGCCCCGCGGTCTTGGACTTGTCTGCCCACTCCCAGAAACCTCACTGGCCACACTCATGAACCCTCTTCCCAAACCTCAGACTCCTTCTCCTCCTTCCTCGCCCAGAGGATGCCTAGCCTCTACTAGCCAGAGAAGCGCGCACACCACCACCCGCCAGCCCCAAAGGCCAGACAAGAGTCAGTCAACGGTCCAGGCGGCCCACTATGTCCGCCCTCTGGAAAAGGAGGCCCAGGCCGGTTCCCCCTAGAGCCACCATTCCTCTCGGTGGTCACCTCACTGTAGAAGGTCATGAATGCTTCCTCGGTGCTGCCTCCGCCACCCGAGGCGCCGCTCTCTCCCGAAGCCGCCATTTTCCCGGCTCAGCCCCCACGTGACCCTCTGCGCAGGCGCTCTCACTTGGCTCCGCCCAACCCGCCTCTCGCCCCGCCTCCCCTACTTAGGAATCCTTAAAGCGCTCCAGGCCTCAAGTGGACGTTTTCAAAAATTGAGATGAAGTATATAACACATACAATTAGCTATTTTAAAGTGGAACAACATAGTGGACTTTAATATTGATATGCTATGAAGCCACCACCTCTATTTAGTTCCGTAACTGTCCACTCTAAAGGCATTGCACGCATTAAAGCAGTTACCTGTCTGCCCAGTTTCTGAAAACCACCAATGTGTTCTGTCTCCACGGACGAACCCTATCTAAATATTTAATATAGATGAAAATATACAGTATATGACCTTTTGTGTCTGATTTCTTTCACTTAGCACATTTTCTTTTATTTTTTCATATAGTACTAATGATTGAACCCAAGGATTTTTTACTGAGCTACACCTATAATCATTTTTCACTTTTTTGAAACAGAATCTCGCTAAATTACTAAGCTCCCCAGGCTGGACTCAAACTTGCTGTTCTCTTACCTCAGCTTCCCAAAGTGCTGGAGTCACAGGTGTGCTCCACTATGCGACTATCTTGTGATAATTCTATGTTTAATTTTTATTTTTTGAACCACCTCAAGCCCTTTTCTACTCCAACTGACTCATTTTATATTCCAATAGGTATGTATCAACGTTCTAATTCCTCCACTCCTTGCCAACATTCCATATTTTCTTTGATTTATTTACTTATTTTTTATTATAGCATTCCAGTGTGTACATGAACCTTTAGTGCAAGCTTAGCAGGCTCTCCCACTGAGTGCTCAGCCTAGGAGATGATCAAAAACAGCAATACTAGGGGCTGGAGATTTAGCTCAGTGGCATAAGTGCCTGCCTTGCAAGCAGGCAGTCATGAGTTCAATCCCTGGTACCAATAAAAAGGAAAAAGACAAAAAAAAAAAAAAACACCAGCAATACCTGAGAGCTAGAAGCAGTGTTGTTTGTTTTGTGGTGCTAGGGATCAGACTCAGGACCTCACACATAGTAGGCAAGCACTCTATCCCTGAGCTATCCCCTTGCCATAGAAAGTTTCTGAAAGGAAAATAGCACTCAAAGATCATCTGGAAACACCAAATTATAACTATTCTTGTAAGAGAGTAATATTTTTATTATTTTTTAATTTTTGGCTCAATTTGTTTGTTCGTTTTTTGAGACAGGGTCTTGCTTTGTGTTTCAGGCCAGCCTTAAACTCAAGTGATCCTCCTGCCTCAGCTTCTCAAGTGCTGGAATTATCAAACCCATCTTATTATTTTCATTCATCTACTTTTTTATTTTCTGCAATGAACCCTTGAAGATATGGCTAGCAGATACTTCCTTCCATTTAAAAGTCATACAAACCAGGGCTGGTACTTTCCCAACTAAAAGATAATAAAAACCAGTGTTGGGCCAGGGATGTAGCTCAATGGCACAGCGCCTGCCTGGCAAGCACAAGGTTCTGAGTTCAATATCTGATATCAAAAAAAAAAAAAATTTATGGCTGGGTGCAATGGTACACACCAGCATTGGTAGATTGGAGGATCACTCCAAATTCAGAGCCAATCTGGGCTACACAGTGAGCTCAAGACCAGCCTAAACTATACCATGAGGCTCTCTCCAAAAAAAAAGTTTGGGTGTTTTTTTTTGTTGTTTTGTTTTGTTTTTTTGAGACAGGGTCTCTCATTGCAGTTCAGGCTGGCCTTGAACTCACTTTGTAGCCCAGGCTGATGTCAAACTTGCAATGATCCTCCTGCCTCAGCCTCCCAAGTGCTGGGATTACAGACACACCACTGGCTCTCCAAAAATTGGGGGGGGGGGTGTGCTGAGGTTATAGCTCAGTAGCACAGTGCCTGCCTGGCAAGCACAAAGTCATTGAGTTCAATTCCCAGTACCAAAATAATAATAATAAATAAATGTGATATTCTCAAAATACAAAAAAAAATTCAGATGAAAAATACATTAAATTTTTTTCTTTTTTCACAGAAAAAAAAGCTATTTTGGGCAGGCCTGATGGTACACACATGTAATAATAGCAGTTGAGAGGCTGTGGCAGAAAGATCATGAGGGATCATGAGTTTGATGCCAGCCTGAGCCATGTAGCAAGACTCTCAAAAAAAGTTTTTTATAATAATGAATAAGATAATAAGCTAGCCCAGCCCTCTCATCTAAAGGAAAATAAACTTGAGCCTATATAGAGACAATTACACACACAACATATGTAAACTTCATGACTGAAGCTCAGTGGCATAAATAAGTGCAAGTCTTGCAAGTGTGTGGTCGTGAGTTCCATCCCCGGTACCAAAAAAAAAAAAAAAAGGAAACTTCTTGACTGTTGTCTTATTCACATTTGTTAGATGAGTGAAAAGGCAAAGCCTTTCTTAGACTCCAATCACATTGTATTACCAAAAGTTTACCAAGTCCATTCAATAACATATCAATACCATTTCCAGATATTAACTACCTACTGAAGACTCTGATGGCTTCACAAGGTGAACTGTGTGAGGAAGGCAAAACACGAAACTGGGAGATGCGCTAGAATCGCTGGTGGATGATTAAAAAGCTCGGGTAAGGTTTCTCTAAGAAGGTGAAATTTAAACTGAGATTTGACAATGTCAATACAATAAAAGATTAGTGACGCGTCATAAGAGATGAGAACGCGGTTTTGAAACTCGGGGTTGTGCTGGAAAGGTCGAGGTCCTGAACTTCAACATCTTAAACATCTCCTTTATAATCACCAGGAAAGGGAGGACTTAATTTCCGTTGAACATCAACTGTAGAACTGGACGCCTCTTTCATACTGATGGGTCTTAAAAGGGTAAATTGCGGCTTGCGACGTCCTAGAGACCCTCTTCTGCACCATCCGCCCACAGAATTATTTTTTCCTTTGGCCCGGGAGCCGTCGTTCGTGATTGGCTAAGAATAGTCCCACCTCTTTCTCAGGATTCGCTCTAGGCTCTAGAAGCACCGCCTTTTAGCTGTCCTGATTCGCCACTCTTACCTATGTCCCGCCTCTTTTCTGAAAAGACTGGCTGTTTGGCCAGCCGCGTATTTAGCGCCTATAGAGAAGCAGCCAAGCCAAGTGACGAGCGGCTACTGAATTAGGCACAATGGCAGGTACGGCGTTGGCGTCTCGGGCGCGGCTCGGCGTTTGGGGAGTGAGGGCCATGCAAACCCGAGGTTTCGGCTCGGACAAGGTACGCCGTGGCAGCATCCCCTCTCCCACCCTAGAGTCAAATCCTGTCTTTCACTCAGCATCCCTACCCATGCTCCGGTCTCTCTCTGTTGTCACAGGATCATGATGGTTCTTCCGGCTCGATCCGGGAAGCCGGTGGGGCCTTCGGGAAGAGAGAGCAGGCTGAAGAGGAGAGGTTCTTCCGGTAAGGCCCACTGAGTCCCAAGTCCAGCCCTAGAGCTTCCAGAGCCTTCCAGTCCTTCTTAAATTTCCTGTCGCCTCACCCACCTCTGGTGCCTTGGAGCACCCTATCCCACGCAGAACTGGAGCCCATTCCGTTACAACACTTGGGCTTCCGGCTTTTTCCATCTATAGGGCGCACCCTGTCCTTTGCGCAACCGCATGTAAGTCCCAAGGGCAGGCCTTTTGCACCGTCTCCGGAACGCTCAGTCCTGGGCCCAACTCTTCTTGTTTATCATTTACCATCTCCCGGCCCCCAGACCTGGGTGGAGCAAAATACCCTAGAGTGTCTTGATCCGACCGTCCAATAATTTGCAGTCTCTGAACCTGACTCGGTTACTCACCTATTACCCATCACCTCCCCTCTTCTCCCCCACATGCCTTAGCTTTGCAAACTCATATGGATTCCCTGAGTTTTCAGATCCTCTCAGCTGTTTCTATACCCAACTCCTCCGGAGTGAGTGGGTAATCAGAACTGGCTTCACCTGGCCAGAGTTGTCCTCTACCCCCTCCTGGAGACTTTTGCTGTAACCCAGCCCAGACCTTCAGCTAGAAATTGCTTAGGAGTAGGGACAGCAGTGTGCCTATCTACTGGCTTTCCGAGCCCTGAGTTATCTTTAACTGACTTCACACTGGAGTCAGGAACTAATCTTTGGTCTGTGTTCTAAGATTAATTGTGGGGCTGATTGTGTAGCTCAGTGGTAGAGTAGGTGCATAGCATGCAAGAGTCCTGGGGTTCAGTCCCTGCACCAGAAAGCAAAACAAAAGACAAAATGTGTGTCACAATGGCACTTATTTGCCATAACTGGAGTATGGTCCTTAGAGGCCATCTTTTTGGGCCTCTATAGTTACAGAAAACTGAGGCCTAAATGCTGTCAAGTCAGCATTTTTATTGTAGTCATTTATTGAGCCTTAAATTTGACTGCTAAGCACTGTACTTGGAAAAGACCCTTTTTCTGGGCCCTTACAGTGGACCATGCATTTCTGTAGGCAAAGAAAGGCCTAGGCAAGTTAAGATGGGATCATTTTACCTTAATCACGTTTTTTTTTTTCCCCCACATATTTTTGCCTGTTCCCTTCTTTTGCTCCTTTTTTCCCCCCAAAAAGGGATCTGATTCTCTGGGCTGTTCCTTTGATAAAGTATCTGGAACTAATGTCACAACTTTCCAGAGTAGTTTATAACGTATAAAGTTTTTGTTTTTGTTTTTTGTCTTTTTCCTTTTTATCGGTACTGGGGATCGAACTCACGACCACCTGCTTGCAAGGCAGGCGCTTATGCCGCTGAACTAAATCCCCAGCCCCACGTATAAAGTATTTAAAATAGAGAATTCCAGAAAGGCATGACATTAGTTACACAAAGTGCTAGTTTGTAGTACCTCCTGCACTCACACCAGGACAGTGGAATCATGTTGATGATCCTCCTTCAGATGAAGACACCTTAATTTATGATGGAGTATTCTTTAACCAATAGAGTCAAGATGAAAAAGCATAGCTACCTTTGGGATGGGGCCGCCACTTTAGGGACTACAGGTTATGCTTAAAAATCTCTTTGGGGTAAAGGATTGGAATTAAGCCCTGAGCCACTATGTCCTTAT